ACTTCGTTCAATTTGAGTATTCCAATTGAGGTAAGTCATATTCTTCTAGATTAGGTTTTATTTATCCTTTACTGAATTATCACTGCTGTTTTACAAAGAAGTATTTATTTTGAAGCGAAGTGGTGATTTGATACGATAGAATATCTATGAGACTAGAAAGATATTTTTGAGATTGAAAGAATTGAGCAAGCAGTCATACATAAGTTTTCTATTTTGCTGTGGGACTTGTGCATTGTCGTCAAGATAGTTTTTTTTTATTGATAACGTCACTTATCGCAAAATATGGAGCGGATAGTCTAGCTAGGAGAAGAGTAGGATTCGCAGGCTGAGCACGGAAAGCACGCGGAGGTTTAAGTCGCGGCGCAGCCAATCCTCGGTTAGCAGCATCTCCGACGTTTTTGCTAGTGAAGCAACGATTGAAGGTCGTAGTGTTCTTTCAGTAAGCGGAATGAAACTAAGAAGCGAGAAGAATCTAGATGAAGATGATGGGCGAAACGCTGAGGCCGGGGCGGCAAACGTGACACTACCCAACCCCTTCGAGGAAGGGGAATGAACGCTGATGCGACCCGACCGTCACCATCATGATGACCTAGAAGGGTCCGGCGACGACTCGGAGCAGGAGAGAATCAAAGAATCTCAGAAGACCTCGGAGCGTTTTGAAACTAATGCACTAATGCAGTAGAGAAACTGTTGTTCAAAGGGACGTCTAGATCTGAGAGCAAGAACAGTAGTCGGGAAAAGGAACAATCATCTCTGGTCAAGCAGAGTAATAACGCGATGATGTCGAGCATAAGTCCCAGGTAAGTACAATCGAGTTCAAAAGCAAAAAAAAAGAGATTATAAAGTTGCAGGATGAACGCATGACATTATTCCAAACAGATGGGCGATCTTCTGGCTTTGACCATCTGGGACTAAAGCAGACTAAAGACCGATGTCAGATGGGATAACGATGGGAACATCCTCGACATTCGATAGACTAATGATGTCCATGGGCACGCAGAAATGTATTGCGTCATCGAGCACTAGGCTACAATCTCAATTAACGTCATACTCTCTAGGTCTGACCCCAGTGTTGGGAACAGCCAGTGAAGTCATAGGCATGTTTGCCAATGTAGTGGCAAGCCTTGGAAAACTGTGGCAAGATATGCGAAAAAAAAATCAATCGAGTGGAGAAGAGGACTCAAAAGGGAGTTGAAAAATTGACGGATGAACTGGCAAAAAGCGATCAGGTCCAGTTGATTCAAAACACCGATCAGTGCCTTGCGGAGAGTTTGGCTCTAGCTACCAAGGAGTCTGAAGAAAGAGATAGCAGAACGATACGAGAGATCAAGCGACTGTTGAACAATCAAGACAACACCTAGGCTCAAACGGAGACTAACTCGGAGAAACGATTGAGTGCCAAGGCTGATCTTGTGATGCGGAAGCTTGATGAACTCTTTAGCAGCAGCAACCAAGAAAATTGCTCCTGTCCAAGGTAGAACTTGCGTCAGGTAGAACTCGCAGTGGCTTCCCTGAGATCGAGAACAAGTTTTGAGCCTAAGCAAAGTGGGAGACTATGGGCAGTCCCGACGAGGGCAGGTTGAACAGATCCAAATACGCCAGAGGCGAAACCCCCAGTCGCGGGCACGTTGTCAGATCGGTTCCGTATTTTACAACCATTTCGCATGATACTAAGATTTACGCATCAATGTTTGAACCATTAAACAGGTCTCTTGAGACGTTTTTTACTAAAGTCTCGAAGTCTACTAAGAGAGGTGAAAGGTCACGAATGACACTCAGGAAACCGAAGTTTTACAAAGATGAGTCAGATGGCTGCATTGATACTTGGATAGAGTTGATGAAAAGGCACTTTGAGAAACAAAAGCTCTCGAAGAAACATGAATGTAGTGCACTGACGAGCAACTTAGAAGGCACCGCCCGAAACTGTGTGATGGCGAAAAAGACAACTGAACGTGGCAGTGCTCGTATAATCTTTGACATCCTGCTCAGTCGTTTGGGGTGTGCAGGGGCATCAGGCGATGATGAAATTTGAAAAAAGGCGCCAAAGAGATGATGAGTCCATTGACAAATTTTTGGACGACCTCGAACTGCTCAGAAGGAGAAGTAACCCTGACGAGAGAATCTCAGAAAGGAATTTAGCCATAGCCTCGAAGTTAATGATCGGAGTAAAGAGTAATGAATTGCAAACCATGTTTGCCAACCACTTTACCGTGCCCACGTCCGATGATTTGCGCATGAAATTGCGTGAATACCTGCTCATAAAACCATGGGCTGAAAATCGCTACGATAATTACGGCAACTAGAGTGGAATTAACAGTTCTGGTTGGTATAAGCCTCGTGATGACATGACAAAAGGAGGTCATGCGCTAATTGTGGGTCGCTAGACCATCACGTCTCAGCCTTTTCCACTTATAAACAAATTATTTTGCGATTGGTGATTTCCTTCACGACGTGGACGCAACCGATGAGGACCACCCAAAATATGTAAGACGGATCATAATGAAATATGAATCAAGATGTTTCTTTTGCAATCTGGAAGATCAATTCAAATCGTACTGCACTCAGTTTTTTTTGGGATGCAGTAGCAGACGCAAAGCATACCCGCTACGAGGAGGCGCTTTCAGGAGTGAAGGCTAGTCGAGAAGCTGAGTCGCGGAATGAACGAAGCTGAGTCGCGGAAAAAAGAAATGTCACAAGGTACCTTAACAACTAAGACGTTGAACACCTTGCCGGATGATGCGATTGCCTCGAGCCTGGAAGCTGTACGAGCTAATGCATATAGTGTAGATTATGGCCTAGGGGCTCGGACCGCACTACAGTAGGTTCAACAAGAGTTAGCTACGAGAAAAGTTCACCATTGGATGAGGTCTGAACTGGAAAATAAGGAGTTGCGCGAAAAACTGGATACTTTAGAGAATACCGTGAAAAGAGAAAACAACCAGGAGCCCAAGAGCCGAGGTTTGAAGTTGAATGTTGTTTCAGGAAAGATCTTCGGAATGACGAGAGATGGGAGCAAGACAATGTCTGTCATATTGGTCGCGTGAGATCAGGTGATGAAGAACTTGAGTAAGAGTAGACGGACATTATAAAGATATCAATGGCCCGTATCCGATTCTGATGAATGTGGATGACCTAAACATCTACACGAAAGCTCAAGTGACGAGTGCAAAAGACCAAGTAGGCCAGATTATCATCGGTCAAACGGAGCTCAAGGTATGAAGAACTGAACACAATGCCATGCTTGAGCAGGATGCAGTCCACATAGGCTGCGAAGCTGATCTAGCAGCACACGTATTGGACATGAATGTCAGACAACTCTCTGTGAAGGGACTACTTGACACCGGAGAGGTGGTCAGTGTCATGCCCATGAGCACCTGGTCCGGCATGGGCTTCAATAGGCCGGATTTGATACCGACTAACATCAGACTGGTTGCGGCCAATCAGGGTTCGATCTATGTGACCAGAAGGACACATATCATCTCGCTGCAACTGGCAGAAAGGCATCTCTGTATGACTTCGACAAGTTCGTCCTAGGTTGGAGTCCGACCAGACAAAACTTGGATGACACTGACCAGTTCATCCTAGGACGCGACTTCTTGCGCAATTTTGACGTCACGATTGACCACAGCGACGGGTTGATACGAAAAAAGGACCCAGCAAAGAGTATGAAACGAAACCTGTTAGTGAGATCTTGATTAATCAAGCGAAGGTGCCAATTTTCCTAAACCGGAAAGGTAGGTTGAAACCAATTCAAGCTGTAGTCGTGACATTAGGATGAAGAATTTCAATGCACATAGTAGCAACAGACAAGTGTGTATGGTCCCCAACCTAAAACAGTAAGAGCTCAGCTATTTTAGGAAGAAGATTCTCACTCACTCAGAATCGACTATGTGTGGGTGTATTGTTGAACACTCAGGCAACATCGGTGACGATACAGCATGGAAAGAAGTTTGGCTATGCATTGCCTCTGCACACCGAATACCAGAGTTTGGAAAACTTGTAGAAGTATAAAGTAACTGAGTGTCCACCACATGCCAACCAAGAATGTAAATTGAAGAGAATAATTGAATTGAAGTCTTTTAAAACGGTGTTTTCTATTCAAATGGCAATCGAAAAAAAACCCATGCTTCGCACTGATACAATCAGTCTTAATGTGTCTGTAGCGCGATTGCGCGAAGACAACCGCTCAAAACAACAATCAGACGAGCCACCACCAGATCAAATTTAGCACGGATCGTTCCCAATTTATCCCAGTTTCTACAGAATTTTATGATAATAATAATCATAATAAAATTAACCATAATAATCATTAAAAATGAAATGCGGAATTTAGATGAATTTTATATAACACAGATGCAAAGCGGAGCCTCGCAACGTTTGTGATACAACAAAAAAGGCAGTGCAAGTTTTTGAATATAAAAAGAAATGAGAGTCGAAGTTTTTTAAAGAAAATAGAGTTGAAATTACTTGAAAAAATAATTTTTAAAAAATCGAAATAATTTCATTCTACAAACTTTAAAAGCTTAAAAAGTTTTACCATCCTTTCGTACTGATACACGTAAAAACATAGAAGTAGGTTTGCCCTCAAAACTACCCAAAAATACAAAAAATACTTGAATAATCCGATACAATTTAGCCAAAACCATTTGATTTAGAAACAAATATTCAAAATCAGACTTATTTAAAAAATAATTAGCAATTTTTGAACTTTTTTTCCCTTAAAACTTTTAATTACTATCCAATATAAAAGATAGTTTTTTCTAATTTTTCAAGAAACTAAGAAACTTTATGATCGCAAGGGTAACAAAATAAATTCAATTCAGATCTATTTTGTAATTCATTTGCTAAGTGGTTGTATCAATAACAGTTTTCTGTTTTCCTAGTTAGTAGAATAATTCTTGATGTTCATAGAGGTCAATCAAAAAGTTTAATTGTAATTGTAAGACATTTATTCGACTAATTAAAACGAAAATTTAGTTTTTTTTTAGTTTGAAAGAACAGAAAGTGAAACGACGCTTTAATATCACGAGTTTTTGTATATCGTATCTTCAATCCAATCAATGAGGTGTGGTACACTTGAGAAGTAATTGTAGCCATTGCAACCGTTCGAATTCCCGCTGCCTTCTACATAGTAACTGGCAACACCATACAAACAATTGGCAATCCTACTATTGCAGAAAAACGTGAACAAAGGAGCTCCGTCGTCTAAGTAGCACAAACCCGAAGATTTGAAACCTTGGATTTTGTCTGTGCAAATATTGTCCTCGCGACACAATCGCAAGTCGTAAGGGTCACGTGATTGGAACTTGGTCTCGACGAAAAATGTTTCCTGGAGACGCGGCGGAAACTTGTACCCTGAAATGGAACTGGCGCCCATGCTGCAGGTACCGAGAAACGTGCCATGGTCGTGCGACTCGCGACAGAGGGCTATGGCTTCGAACTTGCCCTTGATCAGTGGTCGCCGAAGACGAACGAGAGCAATATCGTTCATGGGTTGTTCGGTATATCGGAAACTATAGCGGCAGCATATACAAATTCGAAATAAAGTTATTTACGAACCGAAACTAAATATCTTCCAATTTGTGAAACCAGCAGTGTACAGAAAAATATGGCATCAGAAAAGTTTCGCCATTCTTGCTTTTTGTACTGTAATTTTTAGGGTTGGATATTCTGTTACGAAGAATAAAAGATCATACAGTATAACTTACTTGGGGTGTAAAAATGCTTTTTTCGTTGGTATCAACAGACCCAAATTGCTTCCAGGCTCAGAGAAACGAGAAATTTCGACCACAGGCCTCCGATTTCCTAGAATGAAGCATAGATCTTGTTAAGTTATTGTCCTGTTTGTCTGACTTTCAAAGTTCTGAGTGTCGTTTTTTCTTCAGACAAATTTTGACTTTTCAAAATAATTTTGAGAGAGGTTTTTAAAGAATTTTGAAGATGTAGATGCCCTCAGTTCAAAATTATAGATATTTGACCTCTGGCTTGTTTGTAACGATTTAGTCAAATTGGGCTACCCGGGTTGTCGTCGCAGAAATAAATATCGGTGTTTCAGGCCCTGATCAGTGGCAACTAATCAATGATCAGGACAAAAACGTAGATGAAGATCGGAACTATCGCTGAAATATCTCTGAATCAGCGCTGAAAATTCCGGCTCTGAATTAGCGCTGAGTTATTTCTGAATCAGTGCTGAAAGTTCTGGCTCTGAATTAGCGCTGAATTATTTTTGAATCAGTTTTATGAATCAGTTTCTGAATCATCTAAAAGTTTTATCGCTGTTTCAGACCCAGATCAGTGGCTTCTTATCCATGACCAAAAAATTGCACAGCACTGATTCATGATATAATGCTGAATCAGGGATAACTATTCCTGCGAGTTCAACCCCGGTAACTATTGCGCAACTTTCCAATAACGAGTGGCAAACTAATCCGGCTCAGAAATATATCACTAGATGCAAAATATATAAGGCGAGAGAAATTTCAAAAAGACCTAACGAATTTAGAAAACCTTTTTAAATTTAAAAGATCCAAAAACATCTGTTAAATGTTTTTTTTTTATTAGAAAATCTGTTAAATTAGTTAAATTAAAACAAGAATGAATAGTAATACTAGCTAAACTTAAGTTAAAATTGATAGAATTCAATTTGGATGTCAGCCTTTATTCAAAAATTGTCTATTTGAGTCTGAAATTTAAAAAAAATTCAGACAAAACAAACACATGACTGTTCGTATTTCAGGACTGCACTTTAAGACTAATTAAAACATTTTTGATTAAAAACATGACGAAATAACAAAAAAATGTCTTTGTTTTTTTTCTTCAATTTAGTCTCCTAGCACATTCAAAAAAAACTACTGAATTAAAAAATAACCCCAAGCATACATCACCCAAGCGTTTTTTTTAAAATTGGAACAATAAGCATTTGAAATGTAGCTATATCACTAAGTTCGGAAAATTTATTTTAATAATGTAGTATTTGATTACGGGCCGATCAACTGGTCACATAAGCGAAACAAGATCGCAAGCAAAACATGACTCTTTTATTTTGAGCTCAAATCAATAATACTGTTAGATGACAACCTAAAAAAAATTGGCCGACTGAAATAAACGTAGTTTAAACTGAACTATTTTTTATCATAAAAAGTCAGATTGAATTTTTTTTCAGTAGTCACGGCTTCTAAGAAACCATTTGATTCTATCTCCAGAGACGAAAACTGGTATCTGAGTTATCAAAAGTTTGATGTTCGATCACACAAAGGAAAAATTTCAAGGTGTTTTTCGGACAAATTGAAAACATATAGGGACGTCGTACAATTTCAAATGAGATCATAATGAAACCTATCAAAACATCAAAAAAATCTGCCCTTAAGTTTTATAGAATTTGTAAATGAACGCACTCCGGGCATCGAAAATCAAACTCAGGGTGGATTTGGGGATGCATCGACTCTTGCTCTAAAAAGTTTGACCCCCTAGCCATCCAATGGGCCCTTTGGTAATGTTTAACGCGCCAAAAACACGAAACGCATTTTTTTTTGGTCAAAACTTCCAAAAAAAGTCCTGAAACGTCTTTTTTGATAAACTTTTGAGGTAAAATTGCCTTTAACGCAGACAGTTCTGTCACACAAATTTTCCAAGTGTAGAGTTGTTTAAGAAAAATAGACAAAATGAAAATAAAACTCAAGTTTCTACAAAAAAGAGTCTGCTGTTTTTGGCCGCAAACAATTCCATGACATCCCGAACATTTATTTTCATGTTTTTGTGGATATATGCCAGAGCCAAACTCGAAAAAAAAAGGAGTTCCTTACATACTCGACTAATTTTTAGCAGCATTAAATTGGAAAAGGCTCGTTCGGGAGTTCAAACTGGTACCGGATGGGTAGCTTTAATTTGCCACAGCGGGTACACGACTGACATTGCCGGGTTGCATTGGTAAACATTTCTGGTATATAGCTGTAAAGAGAAAGATGCACATATTACTCCAGACTTGGAACTCACTCCCAAAGTCACCGTTTGATAGCATTTCAAAATCCTCGTCAGTTGCAACACTATTTGAAACTCAGCAAAACAGGAGCTTGCAAATATTAGAGCAGGCCGCGGCAACCACTAAGAATTGTTCCTGAAGGTCTAACAGCTTGAAATTTACGAGTGACAGGTAGAACGTTTGTTGGGAAAACCTTAAGCATATGTGGCAGCATAAAACCGTCTTCTACAATTCTCGCTCTAGGTGGAAATCACCAAATTTTTTATCATCGGATCGGCATAAAATTTTTGCAACCACACGCTCTCTTTACCAATCTACCATTGCTGGAAGAGAAGAGTTTTTAAGAAGTTTACTGGGCATTGGCAAGCAACACTGGTGGTCTCACTAGCAGCAAAACATGATCCATGCTCATCACTGGAATGAGAAACTCCGATCGCATGATGCTAGCCAGATACACACTGCAGACCGAAGCGTAACTTTTATCAGGCCAATTGCTGGTATCTTTAATTGTCGCTTCAACGGCTTGCCGAGTTTGAAAGAACGTCAAGACAGAATCGAGGCGCTTGGCTTATCTTGTTTCACACAGCATGGAAAAAATCGTTTTGACAGCATCATTGAAGGTCGTTCTTCGTATTGGTGCGCAAAGAGCTGACACAAGAAGTCCTAGCGCTTAGCTGACACAAGAAAAAGGGTGACAATGCTCGTCCAATTGGCGTGACTTTCGATGAAACAGCCAGATTTAGGTTCCGCAGATTGAGTCATTTTCATGCTAAGTTTGCAGAGGAGTTTGGTTGACGTGGACATCACATCACGGTCCATGTCCAATGAGTTGAAGTTGTAGACGCCTGTTCCTTTCTATCTAGGCTGGAGACTACAGAACTTGCTCAAAGAGCGGCTGTATACAATATTTCATCCTTATAAGTTATTTCTTTGCAAAGTAATTGATCTTTAAGCGTGGCTAAAGGCCTCTATAGTTCTAAGAGCCTTGAAGAGTAAGGTCCAAAAGAGCCAAAAAAAACTTTTTTTTTTGAAAATTTGAGCCCTTGAAAAAATCCACGATCTTACCCTAATTGGAAACAAGCTTCATCATTCAATTAAACTAGAAAATTGCTATATCAGCCTGTAAACTGTTTAAGCAATCGCAAATTGCGTAACATAATTGCAAACTTTTGATATAATAAAAAATGAAAAATAAAAAATTATAAAGACAATAAAGAAAAAGAAAAAAACTTGTTAATTTAGGAAATAGATTTAAACATGAAAAAAACGCTTCAATTAAAAGCCAGTAGCTAACATTACCACAGTAGCAGCACTATAATTACCTGAAAAGCACCTCACGCCGTGTCAAGCAATACTGAATCTGAGGTGACTTTGATAAACTATTTTTTTTACAAGAAAATGAGACGGGTAATACTGATCTGAGAGTGCCGTAGTAATTTAGAACTTTATTTAAAATATGACTTTATAAATAACCAAATGTTACCTCTATAGGCGGCCACGCAATGAGCTGCAGTTATGACCCAGGAGCGGTCCACGATAGCTCCCCCGCAGAAGTTGTTGCCAAAGATTACCTTGACGTAAAAAGGACGATCATTGCCGCTGTCCACGCCATTCACAATCTGCATCTGCAGCGATTTAACGAGAGTTGCATTTTTGAGACCCGAACAAAAAGAGAAATAAAAATGCATCAGAGCCAAGGCTAGCAACGGGCTATTCATTTTGCAAAATAATGTATTAGATTTTATACAAAATGATTTTAACAAGTTTTTGAGAAAAAATTAAATTGAGATCTTTCGAGAACAAATATAATCCAAGTTGAATTTTGTTATTATGGCATCTGTAAATGTTTGCTAATTTACGTTGGGTTAATAGACAAACACGGAAGACTAAACATGAATGGATCACTGGTTATGTTGAGGGTTTTTGACATTCAAAACCGCAAACTGATGGCTGACTTCGGCGTGTCAAAAGTCACAGTAGTTCAACTGAGAAATTCCAAAATAGAGGTAAATCTGATATTTTATAAGCATACCATACAAGCTACCCGGAGAAAATAAAGCAAATGCAAATAAGTCAAAAAGTCATATGAAAAATTGAATCTAACAAAAACCAAAAACTCTATACGTTTGTCTTGAATGAAGTTCGACTCAAAGAACGCATGCTGAAACCTGGAACACAATTGCCAGTGTTTTGTTAGCATTCAAGCCAACTCAGACAAAAGCGTTTTGTTAGCATTCAGCGAAAAAACAAGTTGTAAATATATTGTTTCACTAAATTAGTTTCCGCTGATCAAAAGACGCAACATGGGTTGATTAAGCCGGTTTAACATTAGCCAAAACAACTTCAGTCGAAAAAAAAAAACGTTTGAATCAAAATTTAAAAGGAAAATTGCATGAAACCGCAGCTGGTTGAATTACAAATTACAGTTAAAAATTACAAAATTACAGTTATGGAACCAGTTTAAAACAAGTATTTATAACCAATTAAATTATTGATTATTTATCTCAGTAAAATACGGGGGCTATTCTCATGCGCGAAGGACCGAATGAGCGAAAAAAACTCGTGAGCGAAAAACCGAAAACAAAATTAGCCGAAAGTCAATTTTTAAAAGAAGCAATTGACATTCATTTAAAATGAATTAAATGAACCTATATTATGTTTCTTTCATAACGAAACCCTTGAAATATAAAATTTGTTCCGATTCGGCGGCGTTCAGTGACAACTTGAAAATTTTGCATATCTCTGCCGTTTTTATATTCGGCCAATATCAATATTCATTCCTTGGAAGTGTTTTAGATTACTGAAATTTGATTGGCTGATTTTTGTTTTCGCGCATTCGGTCCTTCGCGTATGAGAGATTCCACTGTAAAATACTTGGAACCAACCAATCATGATCCATGACTAACACTCACAATAAATTGTAAGGCTGAAACTATTTATAGTTTCAGCCAGAGAAGAATTAATTTAACTTAGCAAGCAGTTGCTCTTCCCAAGTTCTACTTATAGAATCTGAGCCTCGCAATAAAACTAGCATACTCTAGATCTATTGAGACTAAGAGATATAAGAGTAAGATTGGGATTCGTATTAGACTAAGAAGTTGCACGAATCTATCCGGCCGAAAGTAAGATAGGGTGATGAACAGACGGTGTACCTTATCCGGAATTACTCTATAAGAAAGCCACCCCGGACTTAAACTCAGTTAACTTACAAATTAAAGTCTTTCAATAATATTTTAAAAGTTTCAAATCAGACCAAAATCCTTGCTGTGAAAAATAACCAGACAAAAAATCAACAGACTGCAGCAAAACAACAATTGGGTTTTTCACGAAAAATTTTAAATACAAACTCGACAGACCACTTCAATATCAAGAGTACGCTGTCGAGATAACCAGTAGTTATCAGTAATAGCAGCCAGTGATTAAATTCAAAACTTCAAGAAATTGAGCATTTCAGAACAAAAAGTTCAGTGACTCTTTTCGTTAACCTACTGTAAAACTGAAGTCGATGGTGTATCGACTAGCATAAAAACGTTTAATTTGAAAGCCGTATTGAACAGCATAAAAACTGGGTTTTTGTTTTTACTTACTTCGCCCGAAATTGCAATTTTTTAACATGAAAACAGAAAAACAAATGCTCAAATCTGATTTGTTGAAAACTAATACGACAGCGTTTAATTAAAGCCACTGTCCTCTGAGAAATTGATGCGATGTTATTTTTTTCGGGCGGATTAAGTAAAAGTTCCCAAAATTGAAACACAAAGTCATATATTCTCAAATATACAATCAGTATACACAAGAAACGCATAAATCACAGTTGTTCTTGGGTACCTCAAAATTTTTGCGGCAATCTGTGTTCGGCTAAAGCCATTACATGTCTTGATGTGACTCAACTTAGATTTTGTGTTAATAATTTTCATTTGCTGGTTGGTTGCATATTTTATCCAGCCTTCTATTTATCCGAAATGCAAGTTTCAATTTGAAAAAATTATTATTGATCTTTTGTGTTTCTGAGAAATAAAATATCAAATTTATGCTAGTCGATATATTTTTTATTCCTGAAAGATTTATGCTAGTCGAGTTTTATGCTAGTCGAGCGGTCACCCTGAAGACAATCAGAAGTTATTCTGGAAAAAGTCTGATTTTATAAAGTTCGTTAATCGCATGCAAAATAATGAGGCTGGTGCTAGCGAAAAACGACGACAAAACAATAAGACGAATTGACATTAAAACGACAAATGAGAGTTAAGTCATGTTAACTTGAGACTCATGTAAAGTTGAGACTCATTTTGATTGTCGAGCCAGTTAGCTAACAATTTGATTGGCTGATAGGTTTACTCTCATTGAATTAACTAACAACGAAAATCTGGCTTTTTCTTTTCTACCGCATGGTTTTTCCTACTAAACAAATGCTTGAAAAAGGAATAACTTCTTCAAACAGAGTGTGGAAGTCGTAAGTTTGGGGGCCTATAATTGTTTGCTTGGCAAGAGCGGGTCTGGGGTTAAATGTGAGTAAAGGGGGGGGGGGGGGGGGGTGAGTGGTAGGAGGTGGAAGGAAGTGGGAAGGGATAACAGCGGGAGTAAATGAGTGGTAAAGGAGGGGGGGGGGGTAACCCAAATAAGAGAACAATGAAAAAAAATAGTGTTGATTATTACTTGTCGGTTATAAAGCGTTTATAATACAATAATATGGTTATTGTTAATATTGAACGGCTGGAGAAACAAAAAAAATCGTCTATCCGGGAAAGAATTTATTTTTCGGCTATCCGGGAACGAATTTAATTGTTGGCTATCCGTGAACGAATTTATTTTTCGGCTATTCGGGTATTCGGCTCCGTGACACGCCAGTCTGTCAAAATGAAAAAAAGTTCGCAGCCGGAATCGACTCCGGACATCTACGCATTAAGCCAAATTACCAGGTTTGAGAATCGGTGCTGAGGCTGATTAGACGCTACACTTATCTGGTTGATCAGACAACTAATCGCTTATAAATCTTTAGCTGGAGCGTTCAACAGTGCCGAAGTACAACATTGCCGAAAATGAAAAAGTGTTCAACAGTGCCGAAAATTTATTATTTTCGGCACTGTTGAACAATAGTTTTATTTTCGGCACTCTTGTACTTCGGCACTGTTGAACGCCCCTCTAAGGGCAGCACAACAGTGCCGAAGTACAACAGTGCCGAAAATAAATTTATAGTTCAACAGTGCTCAAAATCATCTATTTTCGGCACTGTTGAATACTTTTTCATTTTCGGCACTGTTGTACTGTCCCGGCATAACTATTAGGCACGATTGCATGAACAGAAACCGCCGGTCATTGTTCGTAATGATTTTGAGATCAAACTCATCTCTGCTGACTTAGCAGACTAAATTGAGTGTGCACAATGACTTTAACGGTGCTAGGGACATTAGCAGACCGGTTTTTAACAGACCAATCGGATCAAGTTAACATCCTGACCCCTCCCTCCCCCCTCCCCCAGATAAATCAAGTTAAGATCTTTCACGCCAGCATTTAATTCGAATTCAATTTGCTAAGCGCTGCATGTAAAAATCTCGTTTCTGATTGGCCGAAAACTTCTAACTTAGAAACTTAGAACCAAGTTAACACTCTCTCCCCCCGCGCTCAAAAACCGCTTTGGGGTGGAGGATGTTAACTTGGTCCGACCAATCTTTTAGCAGACTCAGAACAATTATAAAGTCAGATAGCTAACTTCAAACGCGGCATTGGCGATTAGCGACCACTTGCTGCGCTGCGCTTCAATTCAACAAGAGTGTTACCCTGCGCGTAAATCTTGTTGACAAATCGGGTGCCGGACAACAAGCCGACGAGACTTCAAGCCGAAGAGGAAAAATAGGGTCAGGAAGCCGATAATTTGTCTGTAAATTTAGAATTAACTCAGAAAGATCGCGGAAACTAAAATTTTCGTTCCGGTTGAGCTTTTGAGAATAAATACCACATGTTTTAAAACAGTTTTATTTATTATTTCCTGACTAAATGTGGATTTTATTATTATCGAAGCCAAAAACAAAAGAGGTCAAAATTTAATTATAAACGGATTTGTGTTGCGAAGAAACAAACTAATGAAAACTTTATTCACTTCAAATGTTGTGAAATCAATTGTCCATCGCGTGTTACAATGACAGGAGACTCAAAATCAGTTATCAAAAAACCTGGAGAACACAATCACCTCCCCCCAGACGAAAAAAAAATCAGCAAGAAAATTTTCGAAAAACAGTGATTCAGAGCGTTGAGCAAATTGTCAGTAAAAGTTTGAAGTAATCCTATGACGAAGCGATATAGGGGAATTCTGAAGATTTTTTACCCCCAAAATACGAAAAAATCAGAAAAAGCATGAGCCAAAAAAGAGCCGAAATTTTAACAAAATCTCCAAAAACTTTAGAAGACGTGAAAATTGAAGGTGCATGGCGAAAAACGAAACAACGTAAAGAATTTGTTCTTCATCAAGAAATTGGTTTCGTAATTTTTGCGACAACTGAAGGCCTAGAATTTTTGGTTCGTTCAAAAAATATTATGGTTGATGGAAATTTCAAATTGCCCCCCCCCCCCCGCAGTTTACCCAAATTTATGCGTTATTCGGAACGAACGGTGAATGGATTGTGCCGGTAGTTTGGGCGTTTTTGGGCTCAACAACAGAAAAAATTTACTCAAAATTTTTTTTCACAATTTTGAGCGAAAAATCGTTCGAAAATTTTTCGGTCTATTTGATGCCAGAATCAATAATAACAGACAGAAAGCGGGGTAATGGCAGCTATCAAGAAAACTTTTGTAGTATCTACTCATTGGGGATGCTGGTTCCACTTTTC